GACAGACAGAGAGAGGGGAGAGAGAGAGAGAGAGAGAGAGAGAGAGAGAGAGAGAGAAGAAGAGAACAGGTGAGCATTAGCACAGGTAATGAGAAGAGCTCAGACTTGAAAACACGGCTACTATGAGAGGAGATTTAGAAACAGAAATAAAGGAACTTCAAACAAAACACAAGCTAACACTAATTCATCATTTATAGCCTACACTTTGTGCAAACTCTGATTGGTTTCCTGGTGTGTGTTCTTCAACATTGGAGATAACTCTCATCTGGTCCCACAGAGCTGGATCAGTCATGAAGACAGCAATAGAATCATGACTGTCGGCTGTAGAGCTGGCCTCATTGGTTCCCCCAGCTTCTGCTTTTTATAGGACCATGGGTAACTCCTAAGTAGAAGGCTGATTTTAATTTAACCTGCATTTTTTTCAGTGACTCACAAACTCCATACTCAGCTGTGACACTTTTGAGCACTACTGCTGGTGGCGTGACAACCACTCTGCATGTTTGTCAGTGCTTCTCTGTCCCTGCTTCCTTTCTTTTTTTAAAAAAAAAAAATTTATTTATTATGTATGCAATATTCTGTCTGTGTGTATGCCTGCAGGCCAGAAGAGGGCACCAGACCCCATTACAGATGGTTGTGAGCCACCATGTGGTTGCTGAAATCAAACTCAGGACCTTTGGAAGAGCAGGCAATGCTCTTAACCTCTGAGCCATCTCTCCAGCCCTCTGTCCCTCCTTTCAACCTTGAGCTGTCTTGAGATAAAAGCTCCTTCTCTGGAAGGAGAAAAAAACTTCCTTCCAGAGAAGGAGCTTTTATCTCACATAGGTTGACTTGAGAAGGAAAGAACCACCTCCAACACAGCAACTCAGAAAGCCCTCAAAACCAATATGGGAGAAGGAGAAGAAATACCAGTAAGCCAGTAAATGGAAGGTTTTGCTCTGTGCCTGCTTGCCCTCACTCTCACTGCGAGCTCATCTACCCTGTGGTTGAGGCATTCCTTTGCTGGTACTAGTTCTGCAGAATCCAACATAGACAGAACACTAGCAGCTCTCTAGACCTCCCGAAGATCCATCTGCAATTGGGACTGCTGAGACATCCAGTCTTATGGCATGATATTTATTGAACTACTTGTACCACGGCAGAGAAGTCACTCTAATAATTTATACACAACACAAGCACACATAAACACACACACACACATGCATATAACACAAACAACACACACATATACACACAATTCAATCTATCAATCTGTTCCTCTAGATAACCGTAAATAATATACAAATGGAAATTATAAACAAGAAGATATTGCTATCATTCTATCAGGAAAATTAAACTTCATACCAAATAGAATTAGAAGAGATAAAAAGAGACACTACATATTGATTGCTAAAAGAAATAATACACTAAGAAGAAAAACTAATTTAAACTTTAAAGGATCAAAATTCCAGAAACTTGAATTTCATTAAAAAATTAATAAAAGACCACATGGGGGTCTTGAATACTCCACTCCCATATTTACATAGGTCATACACACTACAAACAACCTTCAGAGCTAACATAATCTACTGATGGAGTGAACTGAAGAGATGTATAGAATATTCCCACAAGAGATAATAAGTACACATTTTTGCAGCAGTTCATGGAAGGTTCTTCCAAATGAATCAACCTCAACACAATGAAAACAAAGAAAACTAACATCTTATCAGACCACAGTGAAATAAAAGTAGAAATTAACAATTCTAGAAAAGTCCATAACCCCCAAAATACATGGACACTGAAAAATGAATTATTGAGTTAACAGTTGTGGGTCATCCAAGAAATAAGACAGGAAATTTTCATATTCTCAAAGACAAACAAAAATTAAAAGAGACCTATCAGAAAGTCTGAGACACAGCCAAGGCAGCCCAAAGATGAACGTTTATAGTAATAAGTGTTCATATTAAAAAAGATTCTGAAAGTCATTGCCAGGACAAGGTATCACCTGTGCCTGGACATGGCTTCACCAAGCTCTTAGGATTCCCTCATTACACTGGCCCTGCCCCGCTTGGGCTGACAGCAGTGGCCACATTGCCCCTGCTCAGTGCTCTCCTCCTCCACAGAAGGAGAAGCAGAGACCAGGTCGGCCCCTACTAGGACCCTCTGCCTGGGAGCCTCCAGCCAGAGCTTCAGCCTCTGCCACAGCCTTCCCGCCACCAGACCCCTCCTCTGTCTCCTCCTCCAGAGTCACCTCACTCACTGTTGAGTCTGAGCATTGGGCTGCAATGCACTCAGAGTCTCTGGCATTTTTCAATGACCCCTGGCATCCCAGCAGCAAGAAGCACAGCAGAAATGCAGTCCCATGGCTGCTGTAGCCAACCCATTCCCCAGACTCTGTGCACAGTCCCAGGAGCAGATCGTGCGGTGAAGTCACGGACCTCTGGATCTGGGCACCATGAGAGGACTGCTGCTCTCTCAGGTGGTGAACTGTCACCGCCCCGCCCCAGAGCAGATCACCTGTGAACTATCACCCCTCTGATCTACCTGCACAGGCCAAGACTGCCTGCTCTCTCAGGAGGCCACCCAGGCCAATGGCCATCCCAGGGCTGGGATGAGAAGTCTTGGTGCCTACTGGTCAACTACATATCCATCCCCTTATCCCTGTCCCTCCCTAATAAACTAAACCTGGCTGTGGTGGCACAGGCCTTTAATCCCTGCACTCTGGAGGCAGAACGTGGATCTCTGTGACTTTGAGGCCAACCTGGTCTACAAGAGCCAGTTCCAGGACAAAATCTAAAGCTACAGAGAAACCCTGTCTTGAAAAACAAACGAACAAGCAAGCAAAAAATTAAATCAAAAAATTCAATAAATAAAAATAAAAACATAAACTCCTACATGGGTTTGTTAAACTCCGGGGTGTACTTCTCACAGCTGCAGAAACAACACACATGCCCTGCCAAGTATCGGCTGGGACAGGGCCTAACAGCATGCTCCACTGTGGGGTCAGACAGGACAGGGCTGAGCTGCCTGAAGGCAACACATCATGGCCTTGGTGACAGCAGAGGCCTCCAGAGACTGTCTGACCATGGAAGCCTCAGTCTCAGCCCCACCTGCACCTACACCTACCAAAAGCAGGACATCGCCTACACCTGGAGGAGTGACCACTGGAATCATGGCCCTGCCTGCACCTAAAGAAGTGATCATCTGAGCTTTGGGCCATAAACACCTGGAAGAGCCATCACCAGGGTCTCAACCCTGCCTGCATCTGAAAGAGCATTCAAGGGAGCCACAGCCACCAGCCACAGCAATTGGCAGAAGAGGGACCAGTTGAAGATCACACAGGCTTCCTCCATACAGACTGGAGGAAAAGATGGCTGGACAATAAGACAGGAACACAGCACAATGATACAGCAACACCGTAACAATACAGAAACTAGTCATTCTATAGCGAGAAGACATGAACATCCCAAAGCAGGTGAAGCAGAAGAAAACGACACTAAAAATAACTTCATGAAAATGATGATGGCCTTTACAGAGGAAAGAAAATTTTCCCTTAAAGAAAAGAAAGAAAAGACAAATAAAAAATTGGAAGAGAACAACAAAATTTCTTGAAGAAACCTAAGATAAAGAACTCAAACAGGCTTGCTGGGTGCAGACTCAGTGGACAAAGAAACTCCTGCAGCAGCTGCACTCACCACTTTGTCCCCAGACTCTCAGCACAAAGCAGGCTGAGTTGGGGGAATCCAATGACCCTGTAGAAGGGAAGGGTTCCTGGGAGAAAGCTGGGATGGGATGGGAAGAGAGAGGCAGTAGCCGGGGAGAGAAGCCCCTGCTGAATGACCAGAAAGTTTAGGGAGTTGGAGGGTGCCTGTGCTCCTTTTCCGGGGCGGCCGGCCGGCCGGTCAGGTACACACTTAACTCTCTGGATGAAACTTCTGGTACAGAGGTCCCTGCGAGGTCCCTGGTCAGCAAGTAACCATGATCCTGTACCAGAAGATCTGTTTGGAGGGCCTACTTCAGGGTGGAGAGGATCTGAGAGACAACTCCAGTGCTGAGGGGACCTAAGAAAGGGCAGACCAAGAAAAACACCCAAGTACACAGGTAGTCACAGCAAAGATCAGACCAAGCTGCCAAGACTCTCCTAACAGCATTTAAAGGAAGAGATGGGCAGGCGCCAAAGCAAGAATTCCCCCAACAATCTGAAAAGCAACATGGATAACACCAGAAACCAGCGAACATACAACAGGAAGACTTGAACACCCTAATCCAGAAGAAGTAGAAGAAACTGACTTTAGACTTAACATGATGAAATGTTAGAGACCATTAAACAGGATATGAAAAACTCCTTTAAAGAAATGGATGAGGGGGGCTGGAGAGATGGCTCAGAGGCTAAGAGCATTGCCTGCTCTTCCAAAGTTCCTGAGTTCAATTCCCAGCAACCACATGGTGGCTCACAACCATCTGTAATGGGGTTTGGTGCCCCCTTCTGGCCTGCAAGCATACCTGCAGGTAGACTACTGTATACATAATAAATAAATAAATAAATAAATAAATAAATAAATAAATAAAAGAAATGGAAGAGAAGACTAACAAAAAGTTAGAAGAAATGAATAAATCCCTCAAAGATACCCAAGAAAACCAAGAAAAAGCAATCAAACAGGTAAGGGAAACAGTCCAAGACTTGAAAACTGAAATGAAGGCAATGAAGAAAACACAAACCGAGAAATGGCAGGAAATGGAAAATCTGGGTAAATGAACAGAAACTACAGAGACAAGTATAACCAACAGAATACAAGAAATAGAATAACGAATCTCAGATTCTGAAAACACCATAGAGAAAATAAATGCACTGATCAAAGAAAACAGCAAATCCAACAAATTCTCATCACAAAACATCCAGGAAATCTGGGATACCATATAAAGACCAAACATAAGAATAATAGGGGTAGAAGAAGGAGAAGAATTACAGTTCAAAGGACCAGAAAATATATTCAACAAAATTATAGAAGAAAACTTTCGCAACCTAAAGAAGGAGATGCCTATGAAGGTACAAAAAGCATACAGAACACCGAATAAACTGGATCAAAAAACAAATCCCCTCACCATATAATAATCAAAACACAAAATATACAGAATAAAGAAAGAATATTAAGAGCTGCAAAGGAAAAAGGTCAAGTAACTTATAAAGGTAAACCTATCAGAATTACACCTGACTTCTCTATGGAAACCATGAAAGCCAGAAGGTTTTGGTTAGATGTGCTGCAGAAGCTAAGAGATCATGAAAGGAAGTCCAGACTACTTTACCCAGCCAAACTTTCATTCACCATCAATGGAGAAAACAAGATATTCCAGGATAAAAACAAATTTAAACAATACGTAGCCACAAATCCAGTCTTACAGAAAGTAATAAAAGGAAAAGCACAACCCAAGGAACCCAACAATGCCCACAATAACTCAGACATCTAACAACGCTCCACCAGCAAAACTCAAAGAAGCGAAACACACAAACTCTACCACCAAATAAATAAGTAAATAAATAAATAAAATAACCGGAGTTAACAACCACTGGTCATTAATATCACTTAATATCAATGGACTCAATTCACCTATAAAAAGGCACAGACTAAGAGACTGGATAGGAAAACAGGATCCAACATTCTGCTGTTTACAAGAAACACGCCTCAACCACAAAGACAGACATCTACTCAGAGTAAAGGGTTGGGAAAAGGGTTTTCAAGCAAACGGACCTAAGAAACAAGCAGGTATGGCTATTCTAATTTCTAACAAAATTGACTTCAAACCAAAATCAATCAGAAGAGATGGAGATGGACATTTTATACTCATAACAGGAACAATTCATCAGGAGGAAGTCTTAATCCTGAATATCTATGCCCCTAATATAAAAGCACCCACTTATGTAAAAGAAACACTTCTAGAACTCAAGGCAGTCATCAAACCACACACACTAATAGTAGGAGACTTCAACACACCTCTCTCATCAATGGACAGGTCAATCAGACAGAAATCTAACAGAGAAATAAGAGAATTAACATAGGTAATGAATCAAATGGACTTAACAGACATCTATAGAACATTCCACCAAATAGGAAAGAATATGCCTTCACAGCATCTCATGGAATCTTCTTGAAAATTGATCACATACTCAGTAACAAAGCAAACTTCCAAGATACAAAAAAATTTTAGTAACCACCTATGTCTTATTGGATCACCATGGATTAAAGTTAGAATTCAACAACAATGCTACCCCCATAAAGCCTACAAACTCATGGAAGCTGAACAGTCAACTACTGAATCACCCCTGGGTCAAGGAAGAAATAAAGAAAGAAATTAAAGTCTTCCTTGAACTTAATGAAAATAAAGACACAACATACTCAGACCTATGGGACACTATGAAAGCAGTGCTAAGAGGAAAGTTCATAGCACTAAGTGCCCAATTAAAGAAAACGAAGAAAGCACACGTTGGCGACTTAACAGCACACTTGAAAGCTCTAGAAAAAAAAAGAAGCTGATTCACCCAGGAGGAGTAGAAGACTGGAAATAATCAAACTGAGGGCTGAAATCAACAAAATAGAAACACAGAAAACAATCCAAAGAATCAATGAAACAAAAAGTTGGTTCTTGGAGAAAATCAACAAGACTGACAAACCCCTATCCAAACTAATCAAACGGCAAAGAGAGAACACGCAAATTAAGAAGATCAGAAATGAAAAGGGGGACATAACCACAGACACAGAGGAAATTCAGAGAATCATTAGATCTTACTACAAAAGCCTATATGCCACAAAATTGGAAAATGTAAAAGAAATGGACTTTTTTTTAGATAAGTACCATATACCAAAGTTGAACTAAGACAAGGTGAACAATCTAAATAGACCTGTTAGTCGCGAAGAATTAGAAACTGTTATCAAAAACCTCCCTACCAAAAAAAGCCCAGGACCAGAGGGTTTCAATGCAGAATTCTACCAGAACTTCCAAGAAGGGCTAATACCTATACTCCTTAATGTATTTCACAATACAGAAACAGAAGAATCATTGCCAGGTTAAGATGGCGTCCCCGGTGGCCATCGCAGCACAGGCCGGCAAGCTTCTGCGAGAGCAAGCGCTGCAGCCACGGCTCCTGGCGGTCAGGTCCCAGAACTTCTTGGTATCCATGAACAAGCAGCTGTAGGATTCTTAACATTAATGGAAGCTTTACGATATTGTAAGGTTGGGTCTTACTTGAAATCTCCAAAATTCCCTATTTGGATTGTTGGCAGTGAAACTCACCTCACCGTGTTTTTTGCCAAGGATATGGCTTTAGTTGCCCCTGAGGCACCTTCTGAACAAGCCAGAAGAGTTTTTCAAATCTATGATCCAGAAGATAATGGATTCATAGCCGACTCCCTTCTGGAAGATGTGATGAAAGCTTTGGACCTTGTTTCAGACCCTGAGTATATAAATCTCATGAAGAACAAATTAGATCCAGAAGGATTAGGAATCATTTTGTTGGGTCCATTTCTTCAAGAATTTTTTCCTGATCAGGGCTCCAATGGTCCAGAATCTTTTACTGTATACCACTACAATGGATCGAAGCAGTCAAATTATAATGAAAAGGTAATGCATGTGGAAGGGACTGCCGTGGTTATGGGCTTTGAAGACCCCATGCTACAGACAGATGACATGCCTCTTAAACACTGTCTCCAAACCAAATGGCCATGCATTGAGTTACTGTGGACCACAGAATGCTCACCTTCACTCAACTGAGTTGACTGAGTATTTATAAGGAAGATTGTAAAATGGGTGTTGAAAGGGGGATTCATGACTGGCTACATTAAGCTAAACACTGGTATTGTTGATTAACTGTAAATAACAATTAAAAACACATTTTCAGTGTTTAAGAGATGTTTAAATTATTTGTTCTAAAGCTTTATGTTAAAGGTTATCCTAGTTTAATCCTTTCTGTGAAATTTACTGCAAAATTAGGCTTTAATTAAATTTTGTCACTTCTGCAGTCAGGTAATTGGTTGTTACTTACCAGATAATAAACACAATATTACAGCAGCTTTATAATGAGACTCAGCCACAAACACCTACCTGTTATCTCATTTCATTCAGGTTCATTTTGTTGTGTTTATTTTGCCTCCACACCAAAAATGTAGAAGTTAATTTTTGTTTTTCATTGTCATTCATTTATGGAAAATCTGTTTTCCATAAGAAATACTAATAATTAACAAAGTATCAAAAAAAGAGTCATTGCCAAATTCTTTCAATGAAGCTACAGTTACCCAGATACCAAAACCACACAAAGACAAAAAAAAGAAAGAGAATTACAGGCCAATCTCACTCATGAACATTGACGCAAAAATTCTCAATAAAATACTGGCAAACCGAATCCAAGAACACATTAAAAAATTATCCATTATGATCAAGTAGGCTTCATCCCAGAGATGTAGGGCTGGTTCAACATACGAAAATCTATCAATGTAATCCATCATATAAATAAACTGAAGGGAAAACCATATGATCATGTCACTGGATGCTAAAAAATCATTTGACAAAATTCAACACCCCTTTATGATAAAAGTGTTGGAGAGAATAGGGATACGAGGATCATGCCTAAATATAATAAAAGCTATTTACAGCAAGCCAACAGCTAATATCAAATTAAATGGAGAGAAACTCAAAGCCATTCCACTAAAATCAGGAACACGACAAGGCTGTCCACTCTCTCCATACCTCTTCAATATAGTGCTTGAAGTTCTAGCAATAGCAATAAGACAACATAAGGGGATTAAGCGTATTCGAATTAGAAAGGAAGAAGTCAAATTATCGTTATTTGCAGGTGATATGATAGTGTACATAAGCGACCCCAAAAACTCTACCAAAGAACTCCTACAGCTGATAAATATCTTTAGTAATGTGGTAGGATACAAGATCAACTCCAAAAAATTAGTTGCCCTCCTATACACAAAGGATAAAGAAGCAGAGAGGGAAATCAGAGAAACATCACCTCTCACGATAGCCACAAATAGCATAAAATATCTTGGGGTAACTCTAAACAAGGAAGTGAAAGACTTATTTGACAAGAACTTTAAGTCTTTTTTTTTTAAAGATTTATTTATTAATTATGTATACAGCATTCTACTTGCATGTGTCCCTGCAGGCCAGAAGAGGGCGCCAGATCTCATTACAGATGGTTGTGAGCTATCACGTGGTTGCTGGGAATTGAACTCAGAACCTTTGGAAGAACAGTCAGTGCTCTTAACCTCTGAGCCATCTCTCCAGCCCAGAACTTTAAGTCTTTGAAGAAAGAAATTGAAGAGGATACCAGAAAATGGAAGGATCTCCCTTGCTCTTGGATTGGGAGGATCAACATAGTAAAAATGGCAATTCTACCAAAAGCAATCTATAGATTCAATGCAATCCCCATCAAAATCCCATCAAAATTCCTCACGGACTTTGGGAGAACAATAATCAACTTTATATGGAAAAACAAAAACCCAGGATAGCCAAAACAATCCTATACAATAAAGGAACTTCTGGAGGCATGACCATCCCTGACTTCAAACTCTATTACAGAGCTACAGTGATGAAAACAGCTTGGTACTGGCATAAGAACAGAGACATCGACCTATGGAATTGAATAGAAGACCCGGATATTAACCCACAAACCTATGAACACCTGATTTTCGACAAGGGAGCTAAAAGTATACAATGGATGAAAGAAACCATCTTTAACAAATGGTGCTGGCACAACTGGATGTCAACCTGTAGAAGAATGAAAGTAGATCCATATCTATCACCATGCACAAAACTCAAGTCCAAATGGATTAAAGACCTCAATATTAATCTGACCACATTGAACCTGATAGAAGAGAAAGTGGGAAGTAGGCTACAAGACATTGGCACAGGAGATCACTTCATAGGTAGAACCCTAATAGTACAGACAATAAGAGAAACAATGAATAAATGGGACCTCCTGAAACTAAGAAGATTCTGTAAAGCAAAGGACACTGTCATTAAGACAAAAAGACATCCTACTGAATAGGAGAAGATCTTCACCAATCCCACATCAGACAAAAGTTTGATCTCCAAAATATATAAAGAACTCAAGAAACTAGACTTTAAAATTCTCATTCATCCAATTAAAAACTGAGGTACTGAACTGAACAGAGAATTCTCAACAGAAAAACTTTGAATGGCCAAAAGACACTTAAGGTCATGCTCAACCTCCTTAGCGATCAGGGAAATGAAAATCAAAACAACTTTGAGATACCATCTTACACCTGTCAGAATGGCTAAAATCAAACACACCAATGATAGCCTATGCTGGAGAGGATGTGGAGTAAGGGGAACACTCATCCATTGCTGGTGGGAATGCAAACTTGTGCAGCCACTGTGGAAATCAGTGTGGTGGTTTCTCAGGAAATTTGGAGTCAACCTTTCTCAGGATCCAGCAATACCACTCTTGGGAATATACCCAAGAGATGCCCAATCATACTGCAAAAGCATTTGTTCAGCTATGTTCATAGCAGCATTATTTGTAATAGCCAGAACCTGGAAACATCTAAGATGTCCCTCAATGGAAGAATAGATAAAGAAAGTGTGGAGTATAAACACATTAGAGTACTATTCAGCAGAAAAAAAAATGATATCTTGAATTTTGCATGCAAATGGATGAAAATAGAAAACACTATCCTGAGTGAGATAACCCAGACCCAAAAAGATGAATATGGTATGTACTCACCCATTAGTGGACCCTAGCCATAAACCAAGGACATTAAGCCTATAGCTCACAAGCCTAGAGAAGCCAAATAACAAGGTGAACCCAAAGAAAAACATATATAGATCCTCCTGGAAATTAGAAGGAACAAGATTGCCTGGCAAAAGTTGGGAGCATAGGGGTGGGGGTAGGGGTGAGGATGGAGGAAGGGGAGAGGGAGAGAGAGAGGGAAAGAGGAAAGACTGGAGAGAGCTTGGGGGTGTATGAGGGTGGGGATGGAGGAAGGGGGGATATAGGAGCGGAGAAGAAGATATCTACATTAAGGGAGCCATTTTAGCGCTGATAAAGGACTTGGCTCTAGAGGGGATCCCAGGTCTCCACGGGGATGTCCCCAGCTAGGTCGTTGGGCAGCAGAGGAGAGGGTGCTGAACTGGCCCTGCCCCACTATCACACCAATGTTTATATCAAATATCACCATAGAATCTTCGTCCGGCTATGGTTGGAGATAGAGACAGAGACCCTCATCAGAGCAACGGACTGAGCTCCTAAGGTCCAGTTGAAGGGCAGAAGGAGGGAGAAGACGAGCAAGGAAGTCAGGACCAAGAGGGGTAGGTCCACCAACTGAGACAATTTGCCTGTTCTAATGTGAGCTCACCAAATCCAGCTGGACTGGGACTGAACGAGCATGTGATCAAAAGGGACTCTCTGATTGTGGCTGTCAATGGGGACTGACTGAGCAGCCATTGATAAAGGCACTGGGACTTGTTTCTACTGCATGTTCTGTCTTTTTGGGATCTAGTCTATATGGATGTACAGCTTCCTAGGCCTGGATGGAGGGGGTGGGCCTTGGACTTCCCGCAGGGCAGGGTTCCCTGCCCTCTCTCAAGCAGGGAGGGAAAGGGAGGAAGGTAAGTAGTAGAGCAGGAGGAGATTGTGAGGGAAGGAAGTGTAAATATTTGAATGGAAAAATAAAAAAAAAAGAACTCAAACAGGTAAAGGAAACATTTCAGTACTTAAAAACTAAAGTAAAAGCAATAAAGAAAACACAAACAAAGGGAATCCTGGAAATGGGAAATCTGGGTAAATGATCAGGAACTAAAGATACAAGCATAAACAACAGACTACAAGAGATACAACAGAGACTCTCAGGCCTTGAAGATACGATTGAGGAAACAGAATCATGAGAAATTCAACAAATTCTTAAGACAAAATATCCAGGAAATCAGGGACACCATGAAAAGACTGAACTGAAGAATAATAGGGATAAAAGAAGGAGAAGAAATCCAACTCAAAAACATAGAAAAATATATTCAACAAAATCATAGAAGTAAACTTACCCAAACTAATGAAGGACATACCTATGAAAGTACAAGAAATTTACAAGACCAAATATACAAAAATAAATAAATTAATTAATTAATTAATAGACATCCCTTGCCACAAAATAATCAAAACACTAAACATGTAGAAAAAGGAAAGACTATTAAGAGCTGCAAAGGATAAAGATCAAATAACACACAAAAGCAGACCTATCAGGATTACCTCCAACTTCTCAATGGAAACAATGAAAGTCAGAAGGATCTGGTCCGGTTTTATTGCAGACACTGAGAGACAACCGATGTCAACCCAGACTACTATACCCAACAAAGTTTTAAATCATCATAGATGGAGAAAACAAGATGTTCCACGACAAAACTAGATTTAAACAATATCTATCCACAAAGTCAGCCCTACAGAGAATACTAGATGGAAAGATCCAACCCAAGGAAGTTAGCTACATCCACAAAACACAGGAAATAGAAAATTCATTATCAGAAAATCACTAAGAAGAGAAACACACACAAACAGACACACACACACACACACACACACACACTAACAACAACACAAACAAAAACAAAAATAACAAGAACTAAGCCTGGCGGTGGTGGTGCATTCCTTTAATCACAGCATTCAGGAGGCAGAGGCAGATGGATCTCTGTAAGTTTGAGGCCAGCTTGGTCTACAAGAACTAGTTTCCTTGACAGACTCCAAGCTACAG